GTTGTTATTGTTATCGTTGTTATTGTTATCGTTGTTATTGTTATCGTTGTTATTGTTATCTTTGTTATTGTTGTTATTGTTCTCTTTGTTATTGTTGCTATTGTTATCTTTGTTATTGTTGTTATTGTTGTTATTGTTGTTGTTGTTGCTGTTGTTGCTGTTGTTGCTGTTGTTGTTGTTGTTGTTGTTGTTGTTGTTGTTGTTATTGTTGTTGTTGTTGTTATCGTTGTTGCTATCGTTGTTATTGTTGTTATTGTTATCGTTGTTATTATTATCGTTGTTATTGTTATCGTTGTTGTTGTTATCGTTGTTATTGTTGTTGTTCTTATTGTTACTGCTGCTGCAAATGATTTGACTCATTGAACTTTTGATGTGTGTCCTTTTTCATTAATTGCCTAACAAAGCATATATGTTAGAGGCATTTCCGACTGATTCAATATTTGATTGAATTAATGAATTGCATAATTTCCGATTCATTAATTTGCATATTAGTCAAAGAAAGAATTAATTTGTTCCTCTTTTTTTATTAACAAATGTGAATGTGCAGCGATTTAAATATTTGTATTTCTTAACATTTCTTTCTGTTAGCTAATTTTTGGTTTATACATTTATAGCAATTGTTGGCAAATTAAATAAGTATAGATAAATGATTAGTTGGATTGTTAATAATTAACAAATAGAAACAGAATTTGAAAAAAAAGCTAATATGCTAATTAGTCAGAAAATAATAAATAAATATAATTCATAAATAAATTAATAAATAAGCAAAAATAAATGAATAATAAGTAACAGACAATGATAGCAAAAATGAACGAGGATGGATAATGATAAGAACAATAATTTAATTAAACAAATAAAATAGTGTTAGCAATATAAATACAAGCATAAATGAACAAGAAATGATATAACAATAATAATGGGATAATAATGATGGTGGTAGGATAATGATGATGATAATGATATTAAATGATGATAATAATAATAGACGAAAAATAAAGAAAAGTAATTAATGATAGAAAGAAAATACTTTAAATTTAAAAAAAAAAAATGGTATGAAATTTCGAGAAAACAAATATGCGAAGATAGTAATTTTAAAATGAGCGATGCTGAGTAAAAGATACGAGTAAAAGTAATTTTCCCGTACATTAACAAAACTATTACCTTTTATGACAAATTGGAATACATTAAATATTATTCACTTATCATGTTTAATTTGCTCTCCGAATTACTGCATTGATCATTTTGATAATTGAAAATTTTCACAATATATTTCACATTTCTCAATCCATTCATTTATCGTTGAAAGTTTAAATTTTGCATTTAATTTAAATA